TTGCATTCATTATAACATGTATTTTGCAACAAAACTATTGTTTCATTCAATCCATCGCTAAACCAATAAAACATTTATTTATTTAAACATTAATTTCTAATCAAAACATTCACTTTAAATATGGACTCAATTATACACTAAATCTCAATCAATGTTACACTCATTATACGCTTAAAATGTCTATTAAATTGAAATCAATTGTCATTCATATGAATATAATTGAAATCAATTGAAATTAATAGCGATTTTAAACAAAATTCAATTCAATTACTAATCAATTGATTGGCAATAAAAACACACAAATTGTGTACAAATATGAAAACATAGGAAACAAACGATTGTGAAAAGAGTGGCAAAACATTACAAACCATTTGAATGTGTAATCAATTGTGAAAACAATCACTAAATTGTGAGTCAATTGAATGAATCAGAAATTGATTGCGATTTTGACGTCAAATGCTGCACAAAATCATCACTTGTTTTGTCGACAAATGTCTGAATGTTTGCGTGTTTTCTATGCTTTTCAATGCAATCTCAATGCGAATGCAGTGTCGTATCCCACCTCACACTCCACTATACGTTGCAAATGCCATCCAATGAACAGTTGTTTGCATCAATGTGTGCCTTTGGTGTGTATTAGAGTGGGAATCGCGTCTGAATTGAATGTGTCATATATTATGTAATTGTTTCGATTGTTTAGCACAACAATCGATATATCGATTCATAGCACCCGTAATGACACCAATGATTGCTAAACTAAACCATTGATTACTGTATTGTTGTATTGCAGTGAAGTTATTGTACTGTAAAGCCAAGAATCACACATATTCTGTACTTTTAGTTCAAATTGCCATGATCAATTATTAATTCATATGCATTACCTATTCTGCTGGCTTATTTTCATGTTGCATAGGTTTTTGCCATTAAATATACAGTACTTGCAAACTTAAGGCATCTTATTAACTAGAGATACTTACATACATACTTACATAATTAATAATTATTACAAAATGTTTCAATTATCAATATTAATACTGTACTAACTAACCTATTCAAAACTATTTTTTTAATTGTCATTACAGTAATATTGTATTAGTGATTACATTTGAAATATTATATGTTTAAAGCTAATTATAAATAAGGAGTTTTAAAGTACAAAAGTTATATGTTTTTCTACTTACATTATCAAATATTCTGTACTGTATATATAAAGTCAGTCAATTAAATCTGCAACGATCATTTGTTTAATAGCTCGCTTATTAATTGTAGCTAAAATCTATACTTTGGCACACTTATAGTTCATTATCAGGTAGCCATGAAAAAACAAGAATATTCTGTATGACATCAAGAATATTCTGTGATAATGGATGATATGCTGGACCCATAGTCAGCGCATAGATTGCTTATGTTAAAATTATATGGAGTAATGCTATGGTAGAGGAGATATTATATTTTAATATTATCAAAAAATAATTAAAAATATATTGCATTTCTGCTTACAGTTTAACTTAGAACATGGTCAATTCCGCCATAGACTCTAATGTGTTTGGAAAATNCCCATAGTCAGCGCATAGATTGCTTATGTTAAAATTATATGGAGTAATGCTATGGTAGAGGAGATATTATATTTTAATAATATCAAAAAATAATTAAAAATATATTGCATTTCTGCTTACAGTTTAACTTAGAACATGGTCAATTCCGCCATAGACTCTAATGTGTTTGGAAAATAAAATAACATTTTTGGAAATGTTTTATGCCTATAATGAGTACTATTCAATTCTAATAAGGATAGCACAAATCAAAATTAAAAAATATTAACTTTTAGGCGTTTTATTAATTATTTTCTAAATTCATAAAAAAAGGCTGACCAACTTTTTTTTCAAAAAAATTATTTTTATAAAAAACACCAGAATTTATATATTTAAATGAAAATAACAGTATTTAGCAATATTAATATATAGTATACAATAAAATTAATATCCCAGATTAAAAAAACCTGAATTTAACATTAAAATATAGGATTATATTATTCAGTAAAAAAAATCTGGGAACATATATGTTTGTTTAGCCATTATGAATTAAATACTCCCCTTTTGCATCAATTACTTCCTGCCATCTTCCGTTTAGATTAGCAATGCCAATTAACTTATGATCTGTGTTAATTTGTTTTATGGATTCATTTGCAGCAGTAATCAGTTGATCTCTTGTTGCAAAGCGTTTTCCTTTAAGGGGTTTTTTGATGCGATGAAAAACATCAAAATCGCACTATAAACTAATAATTAATACAAATTTTTAGAATTTTATTGCTATACATACCGGGTTCAGGTCAGGAGACCAAGCTGGGTGATCTAACAGATTCCAGCCTTGTGAAGTTATATAAGCCTGCACATCTCCCCGTTCATGGGGGGTTGCATGATCCTGCAAAATATAAGGATTTCTGATACGTTTTTGTTGTATTAAAGGCTTTAAAACATTTTCAAGAAATGCTTTATATCGATCCCCGTTCATTGTCTCCCCTCGTTCTAAATATTGGACTCCAATAATTTGATCTTGGTATATAATAACTGTCATTAATATCTTGAAATCTCTTAATTCTGATACTACACATGTTGGACTTAAAACAAATCATTAGAAAAGTTGAATATTATTTTTTTATTAAACTTACGGATCCTCTCCAGGTTGACGCCACTCTTGTGCTTGTTGATCTGTTAACGGGTCATAGCAACGAAGCCAAGACTAGAAATTAATTAAATTGTTTTAATTATTACATAAAATATTTTTATAAACTTACTTCATCAATAGCAATAATATTGTTTAACAAATTATGCTCTCTTCTATACCTTGCCATATTTCTTTTGCACAATTTCACTCTATTTTCTTTTTGCTTATCATCCAATTCATGAGGTAGAAAAGCGGCCCCAACTTTTTTAAACTTACATCTATCTAATAAAGTTATTGCGCTACCATGACTTATACCCATTTCTGCAGCAAGTTGATCCACTGTCCAGGATCTACTTTCACCCATTAGGTCTATGAGCATGTCCTCGTGCTCATCGTCTGTGGCTGTAACCGGTGCCCCACTACCAGGGCATCGCTCACTACTTTCTCGGTCTCCTCTCTTAAACTCATTATAAAGTCTATTAATCATCGAATCAGAATATGCGTTATTCTTAAAAACCCGTCGCAATACTGCCTTAAGGTCTGAATAAGACTCCAGCATCAACTGAAATAGATATATACGCGCGTTGGTCTTGAGCCGTATATCGTCTACCATTTGGGTGAAATATTGTGGCTGAACCTCCATGACTTGGAATAAATGGTTCACCATCTAATGGTACGGCCTCTGGAGCCTCTCGTGAAGCATAATAGGTCCCACTAATTATTAAAAGAATTAAAATAATTCCTGCTGGAATTAATGCGCCCATCCTTTTAAATATAAATATGTATAACAATAAATAAGTCAATATTAACATTTAAATCAAAATTTAAAATATATATTAATTTAAAACTTACATTGAATAATATTTATAAGAAAACTCATAAAATATTGATTATAACAACATAATATATATATATATTTTAGGCACCAAATATAAGTAATAAATATTTGTTATTCCAAAAATAGTTTTATCCTTGAAACAAAACATAATATATTTACAATAACACTAAAGTGTTTAATAATATTTAATTCATGTATTAATAAAATTTACATGAATATTTTAAGTAAATAATTTATATATTATAATAATTACTTGATTTTCAGTTAGATTAATCAATTTGTTTGTTAAGTTTTAAGTTGACATTGATAATTTCAGGTTTTTAAGGTTTCAAGGCTAATATGATTTCAATATTTAATGAAATTTAACATTAAATAACATGTATGTCATATTATTAGATATTGTTGTTTTGAAACATAATTTTGTTTAATTTAATAAAAATAATTTTTTTTGAAAAAAAAATTTGGTCAGTCTTTTTTTATATATTTAGAAAATAATTAATAAAACGCCTAAAAGTTAATATTTTTTAATTTTGATTTAAATGTTAATATTGACTTATTTATTGTTATACATATTTATATTTAAAAGGATGGGCGCATTAATTCCAG